GACTGGGGCAGGGCGGCGGGGGCCGCGAGGGCGGCGGGCACGGGTTGCCAGGTGAAATTGCGAGTTGTGATCGCTTGGNTCTCGGACTTGTGTGTGCGCCTGACCTTGTATACGGCAAGTTTGAGGAAAGGGTACGTCGCCACCAGCGGGGGAGGGTGCCCGTGCCACATCTCGTACGGCGACTTCTTCTCTGGGTTGGATGTGGTGGAGGTGCAGTTCAGGGCGTTGCATGACCAATGATATAATACAAGTGAAGAAACAAACATCACCAGCCCCTTGGGGGAAATGAGTCCTGGTGGCTCGAGGACAACTCCAACTGTCCATAGGACGTACAGTGAAAAAGAACAACCAACCAAAGCCATGATTGCAATGGACAATCACCCGAATCTCTCCCGATCGTCTGCGTTAGGCACGCAGTGAAAATATCGACAATAGCTAAGAATCGTTCCACATTGAAGGGGTCTTCCACGATCAGGCACATAACCAAGGCACCCGGGTTAGCCACGCCATCTCTGACGGGTCTCTCTACAAAACCAGTGACGACGTCATCACATAGAACCAACACCGAAAATCAGGAAAAAACGAGAAAAATTGACAACACAGATCAGACACAAATGTTTGTCTGTGCGCCACGGGTCGATGTCGCCCGCATGCTCCGGTGCCGCTGCTCCGTCCGGCGCCGCTGTAGTCAGCCCGAGCATATCGCCACTCGACCTGCTCCGTCCGTACACGCTCTCGTTATATAGACTACCCACAGTCGAACAGCATGTGGCGGAGTCTTTTATATATCTACAATCCATGAACGCTGTCATTCTCCTCTCTCAGGATTTTTCCTCATGCCTAGCGCCAGGACGGGGCAGCCTGCGGGACCGAGTTATCCGCACACACAACACGCATGGTAGGAACAGCAGGCCAGACACCTGACAGAGCGCTGCGGAGGTAGGACACATGCTAAAAAAAAGGGGGGGGCTCCGCGAAAGAATAACCGGAGAGATGACGCACGCCCACAGTTTCCGCAAAATGCGGCGGAACTGCATGCACGTCTACTGCAAACGCAGCTGTGCCAACTGCTGTAGTGCCAACACGCTCTCCTCTGCCCCGCCTTCGTTCTTTTAGCAATGCCGACTTCGAGGGAAGATGTGAAGGGGCTCGTACCACTCAACATCTTGGTGTCGGTGAGTAGGATCCTGATCAATATTGCAACTGGTTGAATGTACGCGTACGTTCCGGTCATGATCCAACTCAAAAGGTTTGGTTGAAGATGAATGGGTAGTCTTTCTGTGCGTGTATTTATTTCTCCTTAACTCCTACGTCGTACTTCCCTTCTGTAGCAGCGCTTCAGTTCCTATACGGCTGTGGCGCTGGTGTGCCATCTGCGCTTCAGCCAGACACCAAAATCCTCAAGTGCTGGTCGTATGTTTTTGCGCGTCGCAGGCTACATATACCATGTACCTAGCTGCCATCCGGTAGGGTTTGTAAATTGCAGCGGTACACAGCATCAGTTGTTGCCGGTTCGATATTTTCGGAACCAAATCAAGCCCACGAGCTTGCTGACTTGGTACCTCGTTATTTAGAAAGCATTTACTGTTGAGTGTAGGGGTGAACTGCTGCTGCTGCTGCTGGCGACTCCCAATGCAAAACATCCGGCACAATCAAGCATCGCACCCCCGCCTGCATTTTATAAACACATGCTTCGCTATTTCAGGCGTTAATGACGGACATGTATCAGATTACGATGTCGTACGCGTACTGGAAAGCTGGGCGGCACAACGAGAATGTGAGAAGATAAAAGTAGCAGGGCCCATTCACAATATTCCTTTCGGGAATTCGGTCTCATTCGACTCACCGGCTGTTAGGAGCAAACCCCTTGTGGCTAGTCTGACCTTGTACAGACGTAGGCTTGTCTACATCAGCCTACGCATGTGAACTGCAGCAGCAATATTTTTGCACATCATTTACATGTAGCACAACGTCCAATGTACGGCCGCTGTTTCCACCCTCGTTCTTTGTGGACTGTCGGTCCGCGTGTGTCTAGGCGGTGTTCGATCTGTTCTTCCGCAAGTGTCCGTTCAAGGGCCAGTTCGCCATCTTCGCAGGTGCGGTACATTCTACCCTACCGGGTGGGCTCCTCAAACTGCGCCCTGTAGTTTGCCACACCCTCCGTAATACATGAGCGAAAGTCAACCACCCATTGGGGTTTGCTCAGAATTACAAATCAAGTGCGAGAGACGTGGTGTTGTACCTCAGGACGCACACAGAGTCCGCATTGATTTTGGGGGGGGGGGATCTCACCGCCTTCTGTGTAGGTAACCGCCGGCCGTCTCGCCGTTGTACTGCTGTGGTTGCAAACGATTTACCATGTTGTGTACCTCAAGCACCGTACGTCATGAGGGCGTCACTCTTGCTCAACCATTCGCACGACCGTCCAGGTTTGAGCGAGGTGATCGCACTGATGAACAGCTTCACCTTTTCCCCCAGCGACATCGCCTACCTGCGAACGGTTCTCCCTCACTGCGAGGAGACATTTTTCGACTGGCTCGAGCAGCTCGACTGCCGAAACGTGCGCCTTTACGCTCTGGAGGAGGGCTCGCTCTGCTTCCCCCGAATACCGCTCATCCGGGTTGAGGTGGGTGATGGTACGGCATGAGAAGAGATGGTGCGCACGGGGTGATGCAATTGGGGTGATGTAGCAGACAAACAGGCATCCCTTTTGAAACGAATGGACTGATGGTACGCTCGTCGCGTTCTTATGAGAGTTCTTGGACTCTTCCGATGCCCAAGCCTTCGTGTCGAAACGTTTTAAGTAAAAGCAACGGTAACCTTTCTAACTCTGTGTGGCGACCCTATATTCCTCTTCCCTGCATTTCGTTTCAGCTTGCCGCCCGCGCCTCTTACCCATTGGTGGACCGGAAAGCCTCCCTACCCCAAACACTCTTATTCGTAGATGGTCGCAGATACGAGCTTCAAACCCTGGACGTCTCAATGTGCGTCGTTTCTCGTCCGCCCTGCTCCTGCCGCGATGTTGTGCTTTTTGCCTGGATGCACGGACTATGCTGAAACAACAGGGTCCGCTGGCTGTGGCGCAGCTTTTGGAAACCCCGTTGCTGAACCTCATCAACTACCCGTCGCTTATCGCCACAAATGCGGCCAGGCTGCGGTTAGCGGCCGGGGCGGACAAAACCCTTTTGGAGTTTGGGCTGCGGCGGGCACAGGTGCGATGAGGAATGCCTTTGGTGGGTCGAAGTTTTCGTTTACGTGCTGTTAAACGATGTTAGTAGGCGGTCTCAGCCTACTGTGTTTGTTATTTGCGACTGTTTCAGCAAAACAGTGGCAGAACAACTTCGGTTGTTTGAGGAAGGCATTGCTTTGCTGTTCGCAGTATCGAACTGCTTTCTCAAGATAAACTGGTACTTGGTTCCGTCGCAGGGATAAAACGAGCTAGTACGATCGAGGTACAACATTTCACCGCCAGGTTTCATGATGTATACTACTCACGCACACGGTTTCGCAATCATGTGGGGCATACGAAGGCCGTGGCGGGTGATGAAAACGAAGACTCCATTTTCATCAAGCATGGTGACAGGGGCTTACCTTGGATGGAAGGCACACATATGTCTGCTAGACAAGCGATCTGCGGGGTTTCCATGGTTCACTTATGGTCTTCTGATATTGACCAAGTGCTTTTGTCTCCCCTTGACTCTGGCAGGGTCCGGACGGAGCCCTGTCCGCTTCTCGTTACTCGTACATCGGGGGGTTCAACGGCACCAGCAATGTTCTCGCGGGGAAGCTGATTGGCGTTGACATCCGAGGCACGCACGCCCACGCTTTCGTGCAATCCTACACTTCCTTTGAACAGGTGCCCGCGGCAGTATTTGGCACCCACGAGGCGGCCACAAGGCCTCACACCTGTGCGCTTGCGGAGGGAGAGCACCTTGTATCAGTTGAACTTGTTCGTTTTCTTTGTCAGTGCTGGTTGGACGAGAACGGGAGGAGAAATCCGTGCCATATTTGGCGATCCTTGTGTTGTTCACTTGGTGTAGTCAAGCAACAACAGTCTCGTCTGGTTGCGTTCCACCGGCACCTTTCCAAGATTGTTGCCCATATCGTACGAAGCCCACATTTTAATCGCATCTATCTTTGCACGGAGCTACCATTCGTACTTAGGCAAGGTGTTCTCGTTAGTTTTTGTGTCTTTCATGTCTCAGGATTGCGCCTCGCCGGGGTGAGCGGGGGCGTACTCTTATGTTTTGCATGCCTTAGCGGTTAGACCATTGACCACGCGTCCTCGAGAGGACGGAGCGCCGGGGTGAGGGGTGACAAAACCAAGACGCAAGAGGCGAGGCTCGCCGTCTCTTCTTGTGTCTTGATTGATACCACTCTCCCCGATCCCCCCATTGCATCCCCAGGCGTTCATCTCTCACAAAATTTTTCACCGGCAACCTCGGTTGCCCGGGGGAAAAGCTGTCCACCTTTTTCTTCGCGGATGCATAGTTTGTGTTTTGGTGGGTACGATGACGCCTCCCGCGTTTTCCTTGTTTGCTGGCGCGCACACGTAGATCAAGGATCCCACCCTGGACGGGAAGGACTTCGTCGCGATCGTCAAGGGGTACCGTGACCGCCCGGTCTGCGGTAAGGCCTACGGGAGCAGCAACGACGGCGAGCTCGCGGCGTTCACCGCGTACGCCCAGGCGTTTCCCGACGGCTTCGTCGCGCTCGTGGATACGTACGACACGCTCCAGTCCGGGGTACCCAACTTCCTGTGCGTGGCGCTGGCACTGGATGACCTGGGGCACAGGTGCGCTCGGCTAGTGCGGTTGGTAGTGGTAGTGGTAGTGGTGGCGGTTATGTTCGCGGTGGTCTAAGTTGTTATTGCCTTTGTCGTTGTTAGAGCGGTGACGGCGATGGTGGGGATGACGGCAGTGATGGCGAGGTTGCTGTTGCCGAAAAGATGTGCCGCGCCGTATATTCAAGCTTGTGGTCACCACTCGAACCGAAGGAACCCGACATCGTGACACGGACTTTTGACTCGGCAAAGACGAAGGCCGAAATGTTTTCGCCATGTGGGTCGCAGGCTCATACGAATAGCACGCATGCCGCGAGAGAAGCCAACAGGTATTCATAACTTGACATTGAAGTTGGGTTGAGCGTATCGAGCAGTCGGAACAGGTGGTTAGCGTGCTTCATGAAGAGGCTTGTACCCAACCGGGGCACAAATGAACATATTATCAACACAATTTCTGCCATGACGATAGATCGACGTAGGCATAGTTTGACGCACGATTGCTCACCTCCCCTGTGTATGGGACTACTACTACTTCGAAGGGCGCTGGGGTGCCGGCTGGACTCCGGGGACCTGAGCTACCTTAGCCAAGAGGTGCGAAAAATGACGACCGAGGCTGCGAAGGCCTTCAACCGCCCGTTCCTTGCCACTACAAACATCGTGGCCAGCAACGACATCAACGAGGAGAGTCTGCACTACCTCGCCGACCAGGTGTGGTTCCTCTCACGTGGTATTCTTGTATGTGTGCGTCTTGTCTTTGCTTTTTTCCGACGGGCTCTGCTGTCCGAAGGTGTTTTGTTGCGTTTGACCACGACAAGACGCGCACTTCCCCTTTTCTGCGTCCGGTTTCGAAAAACATCGAGAAGAGCAGGGGGGAACGACATCCGCTCTTTTCTGCTCTCCTACGGATGCGTTTGCTTTTGGCGGTGTGCTCTACCGGCGTTCTTGAGCGCGGCTCCACCGCGATCATCCCTCACTCGCTGCCTTTAGGGACGGGTATGTGTTTCTTCACCGATGCCTGCGGCATGGGGAATCCGTCTCCCACGCGCTTTCACGTTGGATTGTTTCACTCGTTGCCATCAGATACCGCCTCTACTCTCGTGGGCGAACAGGGGTAAACATGAAGCTGCTCATGACCTCGCTCTCCTGATTGCCTGGCTCCACACGCGCACATCGCTCACTCGTGCAGGGCCACGCCATCGACACCTTCGGCATCGGGACGAACCTGGTGACGTGCCAGGCGCAGCCGGCCCTCGGCTGTGTATACAAGCTGGTCTCCATCGAGGGTGTGCCCAGGATAAAGCTGTCGCAGGTGACCCCCCGCCCCGTTGCCCTCGAATCGTTCGCCGGTCTTTTGCAATACTCCAATGAAATGTATACAGCGTCTTCGACCGCGAGCACCTTTCCCTCCATTTCGAGGCAAGCCGAGCGGAGATCGGAGATTAGTAGCAGCACGCGCACCTTCATCATTTCGTGTGACGTAGCGCCTCCGAGGGTTTCTTGGGCTGCCCCTGGTACCGTGAGCGAACGACATGGGATCAGTTGAGGGTTCATCCATCGCCGGTCGGAATGACTAGGGCACACGAGAACACCACCTAAAGACTGTTGCCCAAGCATCCTTGCGGGGATGCCGTGGTGGAACACAAGATGTGCCAGGCTGCTGGGCCTGGTCGGAGGAATAACAGAGCAAAGAGACAGCATCCAAACGTTCAAGTCAGCGTTTCTTGTTTCTCGACCTGATAGCCAGATTTTTGTCCCATGTACTCACCGGTTCCTTCGTCCTCTTCCTGAAGTACCAGTTTCATCCTGAGACCGAAAAGGAAAAATTGGATTTCGTTTCTGGACAGCGCGAGGAGTATTCCCACAGCAACTTCGTTGTGATATTCAATGCACCGACGACCAGACGAAGCATGCATAGGGAAAATTGGCTCGAAGCCACCGCTCTGTGATATTATGCCTTACATGCCTCCCAAGCCACTTCCATTACTAAAACAACCTCCTCAACGAAGGAGGCTACCTTCTCTCACCGTCCCTCTGCTCCTACGCTTTGCTACGCGCCGGGTCGACCTGCGGCACAACATCATTTTCGGCACAATGGGAGTCAGACGACGTCGAAGATTACCATACCGGGCCGCAAGGCGGTATACAGATTACTGGGCGCCGACAAAGTTCCCATCTTGGACATCATGCTTAAAGATGGGGAGGAGCCGCCGCAGCCGGGAGTCCCCATACTCGCGAGGTACATGCACATCGATGGTACCTTGGGCGCTTATCGTAGAAGACGTGGTTGAACGATTCTGTTAATTCCGAGAGAGTTGCCAGTGAGGGAGACCACCGCATGGAGCGAGCCATCCTCGAGGCGCCCGGAAAGGAGGGCACTCGGGCGAATGCAGTCTACAGGAAACCGATACATACTATGGGGCCAATGTGCGCTTTCAACTTTGCCGATATTAACTGAAACACACTGCTACGTTGCGGTACAACTCTGAACTCGTTGCTAAGGTACCGACAGGGCATCGGAGGTATTGCGAAAAGAGTCTGCTTCACTCTTGGCCTCAACACTTGTGAACAACATTACTCATTAAGTTGAGTCATCAAGATAGTCCGGGTAAAGGAAACGGCCACCTTAAGAGCAATTCGATTTGGCAAACCAGGCACCTGGTGCTCTCCCACGCGTGATTGGGTTATATTTATTTCGCCAGGTGCGTCGATATTTCTTATGTTTCCTTGAGATGTCTTGCTCTATGCTCCATGTGAGCGTAAGCAATGGCTTAAAGTCCTCGCCACGCTAACAGCACTTGGGGTGTTATCCATCTGAAGCCAGGTATGGCCGTAACGAATTTGGTTTTTCAGGCTTAAGCACAGACTAATGTGGTCGGAGATTGGTATTTGTTTTCCGCCGTATACTTTCTGTGGACGTTCGGTTAAATCTAGGTGTGAATGCTGGAGAGCAATTTACAATTTTTCTCGTGTTTTCACCAAGACGGCAGGTGTGGGTTGCGAGTTAGCAACCTGTAAAAGTATTTGAGCGTGTCACCACCTTCCCTCGAGACCAACCTCACACGCGATTCTTTCATCACTTTCCGCGTTCAAATACTCGACCGTGTCTCTGTGTGAGGGGCTTTATTTGGTATACTACTTCTGTGAACGGCGGTGGAGCAGATATTGACTGTTAGTCAAGCGCCAACAGATGTTGACTGCCAGTGTCACCGCAGGTGTTGCTCCCCATAGGGAAGGACAAGAAGGACAGGCAACGTTTTCAGCCCCTGTCCAGTGTAGACCTGGTTGAGCTCAGCGGGGCCGCGACCTCGTGCTCCTCCCACGGGCATCGGCGTTCCATGAAAGCAGAGCGGCGTCTGAAGCACGTCAAACCCTCCGTCCACAAGCCGTTCATTTGTGCCCCATGAATTTGCTTTGAACGGGAAAAATGCCGCGCTACCACATCTGAATCGGAGCCGTTTCCCGCTGCTGCACGCGACTCTGTCAGCTCGCCTTGAGTGCCAATGTTTCGCCGCCTCGATAAAGAGCCCCAATGCAGCTCATATTTCACCGTGATGTGCATGGAGGTGAAGAGGTGGAGGACCTGGGAGGAGAACATGTTATGTAGAATTAGGGATTGGCACGACGGCGGTCTAGATTGTCCCGCGAACATCGGTCAAAGACACAATCTAACTTTAGACTCCAGTCTTAGACGATGGTCTGCTGAGCGTCGCCAAGAGCCCCCTAAAAATATGACGATGTCCTTAGCTCCACTTTACTGAACTGGAAAAACCATTCGAACCCTGACAACAGTAGATATAGCTGAGTAGATTACACAGATATGTATGGAATGCAACTTCTGGTGGAATTAGGGATCTCGTGCACAGCATCTGAGCGTTCCTCGGGGAACTACTGCACCTCTCGGATCGTGATTCCTTTGTTTGTTGCTTTCCGTTAGTAACAAGAAACATGCGTTTTTTGCCGTAGGGAGAAACACGTGTCACAGCGCAGCATTTGGCCATGCGGTAGCAACTCCGGGATCTTGGGTTCTCATTTGTTCCCGACATGTTGGGGCTCGTGACATGCTGTTGGGGCTCCTGAGAATTTGTCGGGACTCTCATGTCTTTTGAGATGCTGCGGACGTCAGACCGGTTCCGTCTACCTTTGAGTTGTGCACAGAGAATAGGGTTCTCATTAGTGCGCGCGGGATGAAGCGGTTTGGTAAACTTGGTAATACATGAAGAAAAAGCGGAGGGGGATTGCTCCGTGTTTTGTAACAGTTGATAATCACGGACGTATCGTGAGGAACTACAGCAGCGCAACTAGTAATCTCTTGCATCTGCTGACTATATTGCTGCTGCTGCTGCTGCTGCTGCTGCTGCTGCCACCGCTGCTTCTTCTGCTGTGATATTATTTTTCGAACTTGATCAGACACCCGTTCGTGGCAACAAAGCGCGCGAGGGTGACACCGACTGAGGTAGTCCGGTTGCAGGAGATGGTGTGGGATGGCCAAGCTGGAGGTGCAACCTCGGACATGCCCACCATCCACGAGGTATACGTATGGATTGGCCAGAAGCCAATACCGTGTTCGGTTGACCCCCGGTGAAAACTCGACATAACTTTCCGTGTACTATCAACGCAAAGTCAACACTGAAGATCTTGGCGATTGTTGGCCCCTGGTTGGTTTCCCCCAGTATGGATGAGATAAACGCTTGCACACATATTTATTCGCTTGTTATTCAGTACTTCCTGGGAGGGCGGTCGATAGAATCGGGGGAGGAGAGAGAGAATTGATTGTCATGTAGGCGAGGTCGAGGGATTCCGTAAGAGGGGCACCAGCACAGAGTAGGTGCATGCACCGACGAACTAGTGCAAGACGAAGACACACGGTCGTGAAACGTCAAGTGTACCTAGGGTAGGAGCGGACTACGTTCTGTGGTTTTGCTAGTCCATTCCTTCTGTAGGGTACATGGCCATGGCAGAAAGGCGCACGGCTCTAGGAATACATGCATATCTTCCAGTAGCACGGCGCACTTTGATGAGGAGTCGGTCGGGCGAAAACACGTTCTGGGATGCTTGTTTGGTGGTGACGGGACAGCCAAAGGCGATTTCATTTCAACAGTATCATCACGTGCGGAGGAGGAGGAGGAGGAGAAGGAGGAGAAGGAATGTGAATTCTCAAGAATGTTCTCGTTTTGTGTCGTCCCAACACCTTCATTCATCCGCAGACAACACGTTTCCTTGTTGTGCGTGTTTTCGCTTTTCGTTGTTTCGCTTTTGGAAAGGTGCGAGCGACGGTGGCAAAGGGGTTGAAAAAGGTGAGACGTAAGACCAAGGAGACCCTTTGCCTGGGATACGCGTTCACTGCAGCCGAATACACCTGCTGATGTAACGTCCGCTCCGCATCCGAGATCGCGTAGATATTTTCATCCGCACTGGCTTCAAGGTTTTTGACTGGACAACAGGAGGTTCTGCGCCGACCATTCGTTGAAATGGTAATGAGGCTGGACGGACGGGTTGACGTGTAACTGTGCAGTCCGTAGTGAATTACAATTGACCAAGAAAAACGTGTACGCGTTGGGAGCTGCGGCAGAAGCTCTGGCGCCGCGTGAACGGGCGGATAGTATCTGCAGCCAAGACGACGCCGCGCTCTCACGCTTTCCAGCTGTTTGGTGACCAGTCCGGGTATTGACCGTCCAGCGGCGTTGTCTTCAATGGGGCTCACAATAGCGAGATGAGAGAAGTCGAGACTGCCTCCGCTTGCGAAGTGTTCTTGGGCCTCGATATGTTACTGTAATACCAACTATTGGGCACGCTTTTGCTTTGTTATTAGAGCGTCTGCACCAACCGGAGTTGGGTGCCTAGCCTAGATTGATTGACGGCTTTCCGCATGCTTGTCTTTCTTTTCCCACCCAGGGAGAAGCTCCAGTGGGCGTGACTTTCGCTCAACCTCTGCTATTTCGGTGTCATGTGTGCTGCGTACGTGCGCTTGTTGTGTGGCGCTTGTTCCTTTGTTTTCTCCCTATGAATTCTCGCATGGTCAGATTCGGCAGGACACGCTCCAGAGGCTCAACCCCACGCCGTACAAGGTGTGTCGGACAGTAAATGCAAGCTCCGAACGAACATGAGTAACGCTATTCATTTGGCGACGTACATTTTCGAGTCTTTTTCTGTGCCCAGCGGATAGACGGTTTCGTCTTTTGCGGCTTCCGGTTTGCTTTCAGCAACTTGCATTGAGTTGGCGTGCGCGCAGACGCTGTGTTCAATAGGACGCCTCCATGCCATCCTGGTTTGGAGAGGCAGCAAGGCGGACCGTCGTGAACGGAGAGTCTTTGAAAGCGCCTGCTTTGGGAGCTGGTTTGAAACAGACACACATCACACAGAGAGAGAGAGAGAGAGAGCGAGAGAGAAAGAGAGAGAGAGAGAGATGCCCCACAGGAGCTTCCGGCGTTCCATCGCTACGTCTCCAACTGCTGTGCATTTCTTCTTGCGACGAAAATTCGGCGTGCGTTGTGGTGTCCATTTTTTTTTTCTGCAAGAGGACTTGATATTGGTAGCACAAACCCTGATGCGGTTGGACATACGGGAAACTTCCCGTGCGCCCTTCCGACCGCGTTCTATTGCTCTGCTTTTTGTCGTCATCAGGTGTCCGTGAGCGAAGGCCTGCACGACTTTCTGCACTCACTGTGGGAAAAGGAGGCACCCATCAGGGAGCTCAGCTAAAAAGACGACGGCAAATAATCCGAGAAACAAGGGAATCCAGCGGTGTGTCTTGCATTAGTGTTTGCTATGCAGTCTAGCTCAATTTTTTTAGTTGTACGAAGCGGAGAACGTGAGTGGTAGTTACTGCTTTGCCCGAAGGAAACGAGCGTGCGGTCGTGTTCCAACGTACTGCTTCCTGGCGCCTTGTCGATTCCCGCATGCCTCCTCTCCGTCCCAGCGCTTCGCCTACTGCTTCCCGACGAGTGTACCCCACCATGAGCCGGTGCCGATGTGTCAACGGGTCTCTCTTCTCTCCTGTTGAAGCCGGGGCGTGACTTTGGTGGAAGTCCAGGGCCTGCATTGGTCTATGCCCTAGGCCTGATTGGGTTGTCGTTTCGGACAGGGGCACATGTATTGTCACGTTCGTGTTTCGTTCACGTTGGGTTTAGGCAGGTATAGGGATACGCTAGGGTGACATGATGAAGTCATGGAGGTCCCACGAAACGGTTGAGTAACTCCAGATTTACGAGCAGAAACAAGTTTAGGCAGGCAAAAACTGGGAATGGTGGAACGGGACAGGATAGTACAGTGAAACGTAAAGGAGGAATGGATAGTTCATTACATGAATGGATAGTGTATTACATAGGGGCGGTGATGCACAGTAATGTAGCAGCAAAAGAGTTCACACTGCAGCTGCTCCCACCGGGCGAACGCCTGGTCTGCTCTCGAGTCCAATAGTAAGTACAAGGCGGGAGAGAGGCCTGGGCGTTGAGCAACGGGTTCGATTGGCCTCCCCTAGCCGAGCGGAAAACCTTCCTGGCCTCCCTCGCGGGGCTTTCAGTCTGCGTGGGAGGGGGGGACGTGCAAGTTTCGGCGGTGGCAGGGTTCCCAACATGCGTTCTGTTTGGGGGGGGTGTATTCATAGCCGTGCATGCCGTCGTCGTTAGACCATTGACCTCGCATCCCTACAAAGCCGGGACGGAGCACGCCAGGTTCTCACCGGACCAGGCTCTCACATCACCAAGCGCGAAGCGCCGTGAGGTATTCGGCGAGTCGCATGAAGGGTGCGCTGCATCCTGCTAGGGGTGTTCGGCATCTTGTGCTTACTTCCTTGCGTACGGATGACAGCTGCGTATGACTTAATTTATTTTCTGATGCTTTCACTTCCTGAGACAGTTGTAAGCACTGTGCAACTGCCTCGAGGGTGCTTGACCATTTTAACACAACGTGGTGCGCTCATCCCCCTTGCGCGGAGTGAGGGTTCTCGACCCCGCACAACATGATCTACTCGACCACCAATACGGCTACCGCCAAAAAAAACACCAGAGGCAAAAAAAAAACCCGATAACCTGGTTGCCGAGTTCACGAAGTGGCTTGTTTTAGAACGTCGTTGCCAATCGACGAAAATCCAATCCCGATGGCAAACACCGAGGGGCGGGGGTGGGCGGGTGGGGCGTACTCTTATGGTTTGCATGCCTTAGCGGTTAGACCGTTGACCACGCGTCCTCGAGAGGACGGAGCATTGTTCCCACAGGACCGATCACCGATGGCCAATCGTTCCTTTCTACTTTGCCAAAGGTGGCTCAAATGTGTCTTCCCTTGTCTGTCTATCCTAACGATACCCCTTCCCGCCTTTTCAACCCACCTCCTATGCCCCAGTACAGCTACCGTCCTTTCCTCTTTATTTCATGCCTCAAACATCTCCCTGTACGTCCTATCTATTTTTCCCAGCTCAGTCACGTACACTTCCCTCTCCTTGTACCACGGACATTCCGCGACTACATGAACACGGTCTTCGCATTCGAAGCCGCAATCACATTTGAACTCGTCGTCTTCGTCATCTACCGTCCTATGTCTTCGTCGACGTTCTCGAAGGCCATGTCCCCGGTCCTGAATTTGAACCCTTATGTGACTACACCAACGAATGAGCTCCGTTCCCAGCTCCGATGACTCTTTAATGCGACATTATCGAACCGAATTGAGC